ACTTGTTTTTTTATTTGTATTTCCCTGATAACTATGTAAAACACATTCTCATGTCCTTAGTGTGTATCTTCTTTAGAGCAATCCCTGTTCAGAAACCTTACTCATCTTTTAAAAGGCATTTGTCCTTTTATTATTGAGTGGTAAGATTTCTTTGTAGATTCTAGACACAAATCCTTCTGCAGACATATGATTTACAAATATTTTCTCCCTTTTTGTGGGTTGTATTTTCATATTCTTGATGGTAATCTTTGAAGTCCAAGATATTGTTTGATCTAAATCTAGTATAACCATTTTTTTTTCTTTTGCTACTTTCGTTCTTGCAGTCATGTCTCGAAAGGTTTTGCTTAACAAGAAGGTTTTGCTTATGAAGATTTACTACTACTTTTTCTTTGAAGAGTTTTCTTACATTTTAGTTCTTACATTGAAGTCTCTAGTCTATTTTGAGTTCGTTTTTGTATATGGTGTAAAAGATGCCAATTTCATCCTTTTCCATGTGTATAACTAGTTATCCCCACCATTATTTGTTTAAAAAAAAACTGTTGTTTCCTCCACCAAGTTGTGTCAGATCTTAAGAGTGTGGATCAGTAGTGTTAGTATGTGCACAGGTATGAATGAATAATCAAGAATTTGCATATGTGTACTAGGGTGAAGATAATTTTGGTTCTGCTTTGTAAAAAGATAAATTACATATTTTTATGCTTCTAAAATTAAAGAGATCTAAAACAGATAATATCCATATTTCTTTTGATAGTCAATTGTACAAATACTAAACATATACATCAGATTTTCTTTATAGCTCTCTTCCCTATAGAACTCTGACTAATTTGGAAATACAGATATATTCACTGCTTTAGTTGAAAGCTATCTGAATAAAACTCCAAATATTAACAGGGCCATGCTTTTACTGAGTTGATACATAAAATGGATGTATATTTGTGAAAATCTGAAGAGAAACTTTGGTACTCACTTGTAACTTCTCAATGAGATCTATTTACCCAATTTCTACATAGGATAAAGTTTGTATAATTACTTTCAATCATTAGACATATTAAACTGATATGTTATCAAAACTAACGGACTTTCCCTGCTTTGTTGGGATCTCTTGGCTTTTTGGACTACTCTAGATATTTTCTTGTTTTGAGAAGCAATGAGAAGGCACCATCCAGATTTGCATTTCATCGAAGTATCTGCCTTTCTCTTTCATACCTCAGCTCCTTATACGAATCTCTCTCCCTGTCTCTCTCCCTCTCTCTTTAGTTTTCAAGATTCATTTTAGTGTAGAGTCCTCACGTCAGCAGCACATATTCTAAAATTGGAACGATACAGAGAAGATTAACATTTTAGTGTAGAAATCGAATATTCTGGTTTTGCCAATCTTGGGCACTCAAGTCTTACTGAAAGTTAAGGGGTTCCAATCTCATTAGAAAAAAACTGCACAGTAACCTACAGAGAGGGCCTCTAACTATCTTGAGTCTAGTTCCTTGGACCTTTGTCAGCCTTAGACCTTAGAGAGAGTGCTGCAATTTTGGATAGGTAACTCCCTCAAACAAATGCCAGGGAGGCTTTTTTTAGTCTACAACTAAGTGGACATGAAAAAATTAAAAAGCAATTCCCTGGGCTTCTATAGCTAGGAAGATTATTGAATGTAACCAGCACAGAGGCAGTTTTGTATTGTAGGGAAGATTTACCGCTTATTCAACCCAAATTTATAGCATTTTATTTCTGCCATAAAGACAGTTTACATTTACAGTCTACCACTGGAGTTAACAGAGACAGGAATAGTTGTAGCTACACTATGGTTATGAAAGCAGTCTATAAAGTGTAAACTTTGCTGATTCTCTAATTGGTATAAAAGCCCAGACATAAGAAAGTGAGCTTTACAACATGGCATAGTTGAATACTGGTAATTGATTTTAATAAAATCTTAGACTTAACAATATTTAGATTTTTCATTTTGAGAAAATGTCCTTCATATCATTAAAGATTTCATATATTCTCTAGACTGTCTTTAGACAACGTTAGTAGTCAACATATGGCTACTGAACACTTGAATATTAGTCCAAATCAAGACTTAAAGGGAACTGATTAATCTTCAAAAGAATAAAATAATGTAAAACATTGAATTAAGTATTGTTTATGTTTTTTATACATTGGATTAAAGTGCACTATTCAAATTACTACTATTTTGTTCTACTTTTTAAATGAGGCTACTTAAAATTTTAAAGTTACACATGTAGCTCACATTTGTGGCTTACTTTATGTTTTTATTAGATGGCACTGTTCAAGAGGCTAGTTAGTAGCACAACTATACTGGGTTCCTCTGAGCACAGTGTTATAAACATTCTTCTCCCTCATATCATAGTTTTCATACAAAATATAAATTCAATATTTCCTTCCTTCTTCTTCTTTCTTTCTTTCTTTCTTTCTTTCTTTCTTTCTTTCTTTCTTTCTTTCTTTCTTTCTTTCTTTCTTTCTTTCTTTCTTTCTTTCCTTTTTTGGCACTGGGAATCAAACTTGGGACCCTGCACTTACGAGGCAGGTGGCAGCACCACTGAGCTAAATCCCTGACTCCTACATTAAACATTTCTTAATTCATATTTTTTCTCACATACCTTTATAGTTTCACAGGCTATTTCCTCTCCTGAGAACCTCTTTTCCACTTAGCATATTTGGCAAACTTTTTTTTTTACTTTTTGATGGTCAGCTATGTATTATTTTCTCCATAAAATATTTTCAGAACTCCCTTACCCTATATCTGTACCCCAAATAGAAATAAACATTCTGTCCTTTGGGCTGTGGCAGTATCTTGGCCAATGTCTGCTGAATGCATACTGTTTGCTGAGCTCAGGGATGGGCGGTTGGAGGTAGCCAAATGTGAACAAGAGTGATATGGAGGCTGTGCCTATACTGCTTGCATTCCACAGTAGAATGCCAATCAGAAAACATGCAGTCACAGAATGGTTTAGAAAATGCTGCTGAGGGGAGATTTAGAGAAAATATCAAAAGCATAACTTTCCCAGACTATATCTTTGTGGCAGATAGACCTATGGAGCCTGCGTTATAACATTTGATCCCACAGAACCCACTGGTTTATGCTAACACATTTCTCAGTACGTCAACTAAATGGCATCTTTTTACATCACAAATGTTCAATATACAAATTGCTGTATAAGCATTCTTACATTACATCTACACCCGAATATCCTTGTAAATGACCGTCTTACCCTGGATATTTGGGTATTATCTTTTTTAAGAACAACAAAAGAGTATCTACATAATTAGTGTGGTTCAGTTAAAAAGAATTCCTCAAGAGGTGTGCAATGAACAATAATGCACTATGAAGAAGTGTTCAGGATTTCAATGGTCTTATTCCTGTAGTGATGAGAAGGTAAATTAACAGTAAGTAGTGAGCAGCTTTGGTGAATCTTCTAACATATGACAGTGGAATTTTTAAAATTAATGTTGGAAGGCAGGACCAGTACTTGGCTTGTTGAGCAGTCTCAATAACCTAGAACCTAGTTAAGAAGTCAGAAGAATGCTTTTTAAAGCAATATTTGAGTAGTCCAAATATCTATCTGAAAGTCCAAGCGTTAAGGTGCCTTACTCCTTGACAAACACATCTGTCCTCATACGGAACCTACTTTGTCTTACTTTAGGGTTGTGTCAAATGATGCTATCTGGATGAAACTAGAAGCTGCCCATCAGGAGGGAATGTTAGGGGTAGCAATGCTGGTAACAGAACAGAAACAGGGCAACACATAGTAGGGGGAAAGTGATACAAAAGGCAGAGATGATCACTAAGTCACAGTATTCTGGGGTCCTTCAGTGCAGCAACCGATAGCTTCTAAACCTCTTAGGAGCATTCCTAACACCTAGGAAGAAGCTTGATATAGAAGGTGAACTCAAAGTATTTCTTAAATGTGCTATTAACTTATTACCATAATACCTGTAATGAATGGACACTAACATTTAAAGATAATGCCAAAGTCCAATAGACTCCTTAAGACAATAGAAACATTTATAATACATTTTAGAAAATCTTTGTATAACAGTTAAGATAGTTTTTAGAAAATAATTCGAAGGGGCAAGCTCCAGTTATGCTAATCATCTTTTAATTGGAATAGTTTGCTCTGTGTCCCTCCTGTACAGATGATGCACCACAGAAAAGTAGCCTTTACTAATTTGCCTTAAGCAGATTTTGAACTGTGGTATATGCAAATAATGTGCTATTACATGGGGTTTAAACTATATTAGATGGCAACAGATTGCATAATTGAATCACTAGGGTAATGTAAAATAAATGTTTTAAATGTGCCATCACTGTTAAGTAAAAGTATTCCTACCATGTGCCCAGCACTGTGCAGGGAGCTGAGTTTATTGAGAATTAATTTGAAAAACTGCTTTCACTTTGAAGATTGAGAAGGTATGCCAAAGCTCATTTATATTTTTAAATGTTAAATTTTAAATGCATAACACCAGCATTACATAACAGACATAAAGTGCAGTTTTATGATTTGGATAATTTTTGTTTCTTTAACGTGCACTACCAACTCCATTTCCAAATGCTATGAAAACCTATATATAAGAATGGAGTGCCTTATTCACTTATTTGTCTTATCTGGCAAGTGTTACAACACAGGCATGCCATTTCAGAGTTTAGGGTGCAACTAAGCTGTACTTTAGCGTTTTTGTGTCAAGTGAAGATAATTTGAGCAACGACACTCATTTCCCGTTTTTTTTTTTTCTTTCTTTCTTTCATGGCGAGTTACCAAAAGCTAGATGACAGATTCATAAAGAAACCTGACATCTAGGGAGGTGTTGAGGGGGCGTTAATAGTTGTAGTTAGATGTTTGGGGAGCGTTGAAAATACGATTTTAGCACAGCAAATAAAGGAGAAGGGGAAATTAGGGTTTCATACGACTCTCCTCCCTCCACTTTCTCGCTGTACCCACCTGACCCCCCTCCTCCAGTTCAGAGGCGGGTTCAGCGAGATTAGGCTGCAGGAAACCGAGAGGCTTCACTGAGCTAACTCCCCAGCCTCGTGATGTAATTGTTATTTCTCATTCGGAGACCAAACCGAGGAGAGCGGCTGAAGAAGTGGCAGCCTTGCTGTTTTTGCCTCGTCGGGCTGGGTCAGATCCTTTCCGGGGATGGTGGTGTAGCTCCGCTGGAGACTTCGCAGTGACAAAGCAGCTGAAGCTAAACCCTGCTCCTGGGTCCTACGTCCGTCCAGGGAGCCGAGCGGGGCACTCCTCAGGTCTCCTTGCTAGTTCTCCTCTCGGCGTCACAACACATTTATTCTTGGGTGCTGGGCGTGGGGTCAAAGTGACCTGGAGTTACAGTGCCCAAGCCCCGCGGCCCCCATTAATGCAGGGCACAGATTACAAGGAGGTGGAAATTGGGGGTGGGGGAAAGGGCGCCAAGGGAACGCGTGTCGTGTAGGAAACGGGAGGAGGGAGACACTTAAGGCGCCAGGAGCCTGGGAGGGACTCTGGGGTGCGGGGCGCCCGGTCTCTTTGCTGTGCCTGGGTGTCGGGACCCTCGCCCGGCCCCACTGGGGAGCTGTCCAGGTGGCTGCACCGAGCCAGGAGCCGAG